CATAAGATACAATGGCACCATTTAGTACAATGGTACCATATGATACAATGGTACCATATGCTGCAATGGTACCTTATGGTACCATATGCTGCAATGGTACCTTATGGTACCATATGGTGCAATGGTACCATATGGTGCAATGGTACCATATGGTACATTGTAACACCTCAATTACTGGGAGCGCTTGAGGTTCCTAAAGCTGTATTCCCTGGAACACAGGCGGTCTCGAGAGATACATGATTATATACACCTGGAAAATCCTAGAGGGACTAGTACCGAACTTGCACACGAAAATCACTCACTACGAAAGCAAAAGACTTGGCAGACGATGAAACATCCCCCAATGAAAAGCAGGGGTGTTGCTAGCACGTTAAGAGACCATACAATAAGTGTCAGGGGCCCGAGACTGTTCAACTGCCTCCCAGCATACATAAGGGGGATTACCAACAGACCCCTGGCAGTCTTTAAGCTGGCACTGGACATGCACCTAAAGTCGGTTCCTGACCAGCCGGGCTGTGGCTCGTACATTGGTTTGCATGCAGCCAGCAGCAACAGCCTGGTTGATCAGGCTCTGATCCACCAGGAGGCCTGGTCACAGACCGGGCCGCGGGGGCGTTCACCCCCGGAACTCTCTCCAGGTAAACTCCAGGTAAACACAATAGAATGATACAATATGGTTCATTGTACCATATGGTACTATATGGTACTGTTGTATTCAACACAATAAACACACTAATATTTTCATCGTTATTTTGCTTACAATAGTTGTTTACAACAAAAATATGCAAAAATGTTGTATATTAGTAATGTTCTATTATATATTTATAAATGTACAGGAACTCGACATGTTCCTTGAGGTGGATGACAAAGCGCTTCGTCTCGGAAACTGCGGAGTCAGTAGCTAGCTTGCGTTGCCACTCACTCAGTCTTGGCTGGTCTCTCCTGCCACCAACACCTATTGACCATATGGTGCACGGTATCATATGTTACAGGGTACCATATGGTACATTGTACTATATGGTATAGGGTACCATGCAGTAGAGGATAACATATGGTGCAGGGTACCATATTGTGCAGGGTACCATATAGTACAGGGTACCATATGGCACAGGGTACCATATGGCACAGGGTACCATATGGTATAGAGTACCATACAGTACAGGACACCATATGGTACAGATACAGGGATCCCTATGGAAATAAGTCACCCTGACTTTTTTGGGTTATCCTAGGATTTTATATGTATGCTGCTATGTATGATAATCTATGTAATTGTATTTCTGTACACCTGAATAAACTTACTCAAGTGCATGTGGCATCATAAGTAAGTTTATTTAGTTATACACAAATAAAGTTACATAGAATATCATACTTAGCAGCATATGTTTGGAGAACCTAGGATAACCCAAAAAAGTCAGACAGACTTATTTCCATTAGGGTCCCTGTACCCTGTACCATATGGTATAATGTACCATATGGTACAATGTACTATATGGTACATTGTACCATATGGTACCACTCTACCATACGATACCATTGTACCATATGATACCATTGTATGACATGGCACCATTGTACCATATGGTACCACTGTACCATATGGCACAATGGTACCATATGGTTCAAAACTATAGAATTCGTCTTCAGCTCCACTTCCATCAGTCTTAGAACTGTAAGGTGTTAAGAGGAGAGTCAGAATTTGCCCCGAGAGTGAGTGGAGAGTGAGAGCTTCCTTGCTGCCAGGCACTATGAACAAAGCTACTTTGCCGGCGTTCCCACAATGCCATGCAGGTGTCCAGATTTTTTCTATGGTGTGCACACTGACCACCCAGACCCATTCTCTCAGATGTAGGCCTACCAGCTTTCTCGTGCTAAATTTGACGCCGCTAGAGTTTTGGCATAGATCTACGGTTTGGACCCTGAACGTAAAGCTGTAGATCTATGTGACGGACCCTGAAAGGGTTAAACAAAAATACCTTTAACATTTCTGTCATGATCCCATCAGTTCCAGCTGCTTTACCCCCTTTCATTCTACATAATGCCTCAAGGACCTCCCCCACACTCGCATCCTGTTCTTCACTTCTAAAAGATGGAATACCTCCCTGGCCAGTGCATGAAATTACCGCCTCCCTTTCTTCATCAACATTTAAAAGTTCCTCAAAATATTCTTGCCATCTACCCAATACCTCCATCTCCCCATCTATTAACTCCCCTACTCTGTTTTTAACTGGCAGATCCATTCATTCCCTAGGCTTTCTTAACTTGTTTAACTCACTCCAAATTTTTTTCTTATTTTTATTAAAGTTTCTTGACAGTGCCTCTCCCACTCTATCATCTGCTCTCCTTTTGCACTCTCTTACCACTCTCTTCACCTTTCTTTTACTCTCCATATACAGTGGACCCTCGCATACCGTTGGCATCACATAACGTTAAATCCGCATACCGATACATTTTATCACTAAAATTTTGCCTCGCATCCCGCTAAAAAACTCGCTCAACGCTATTCATCCGAGACGCGTCTAATGTGCGGCCTGAGCCAGCCTCACATGTTCCACCGGTGGCATTGTTTACCAGCCAGCCTCTGCGGTAACATCCAAGCATACAGTCGGAACATTTCGTATTATTACAGTGTTTTTGGTGATTTCATCTGCAAAATAAGTGACCAAGGACCCCAAGAAAGCTTCTGGTGCCAACCCTACAGGAATAAGGGTAAGAATTACTATAGAGATGAAGAAAGAGATCATTGCTAAGTATGAAAGTGGAGTACGTGTCTCCGAGTTGGCCAGGTTGTATAGTAAACCCCAATTAACCATCGCTACTATTATGTCCAAGAAAACGGCAATCAAAGAAGCTGTTCTTGCCAAAGGTGCAACTGTGTTTTTGAAACAGAGATCGCAAGTGATAGAAGATGTTGAGAGAGACTTATTGGTGTGGATAAACGAAAAACAGATAGCAGGAGATAGCATCTCTCAAGCGATCATAAGTGAAAAGGCTAGGAAGTTGCATCAGGATTTAATTAGAAAAATGCCAGCAGCTAGTGATGATGTGAGTGAATTTAAGGCCAGCAAAGGTTGGTTTGAGAGATTTAAGAAGTGTAGTGGCATACATAGTGTGATAAGGCATGGTGAGGCTGCCAGTTTGGACCACAAAGCAGCTGAAAAATATGTGTAGAAATTCAAGAAGTACATAGACAGTGAAGGACTGAAACCTGAACAAGTGTTTAATTGTGACAAAACAGGACTGTTTTGGAAGAAAATGCCAAGCAGGACCTACATTACTCAGGAGGAAAAGGCACTCCCAGGACATAAGCCTATGAAAGACAGGCTTACTCTTCTCATGTGTTCCAATGCTAGTGGTGATTGCAAAGTGAAGCCTTTATTAGTGTATCACTCTGAAACTCCCAGAGCATTCAGGCAAAAGAATATCCTCAAGGCTAATTTGTGTGTGCTGTGGAGGGCAAACAGTAAGGCATGGGTCACTAGGGACTTTTTCTATGACTGGTTACACCAAGCATTTGCCCCCAATGTGAAAAATTACCTAACTGAAAAGAAATTAGACCTTAAGTGCCTCCTGGTGTTAGACAATGCCTCTGGTCATCCTACAGACTTGGCAGAGCGACTTTGTGGGGACATGAGCTTTATTAAGGTGAAGTTTTTACCTCCTAATACCACTCCTCTCCTGCAGCCCATGGACCAGCAGGTTATTGCAAACTTCAAAAAACTGTACACAAAAGCTATGTTTGAAAGGTGCTTTGTAGTGACCTCAGAAACTCAATTGACTCGAAGAGAGTTTTGGAGAGAGCACTTTAATATCCTCAATTGTGTAAACCTTATAGGTAAGGCTTGGGAGGGAGTGACTAAGAGGACCTTGAACTCTCCTTGGAAGAAACTGTGGCCAGAATGTGTAGACCAAAGGTATTTTGAAGGATTTGAGGCTAACCCTGGGAATCTTATGCCAGTTGAGGAATCCATTGTGGCATTGGGAAAGTCCTTGGGGTTGGAGGTTAGTGGGGATGATGTGGAAGAGTTGGTGGAGGAGGACAATGAAGAACTAACCACTGATGAGCTGCTAGATCATCTTCGTTAGCATGAGGCCACACCTGAGGAAACTGCTTCGGAGGAGGGGATAGAGAAATTGAAGAAGTTGTCTACTTCAAAGATTAAGGAAATGTGTGCAATGTGGCTTAAAGTGCAAACCTTTATGGATGAAAATCACCCTCAGACAGCTGTTGCAAGCCATGCTGGTGACTGTTACACTGACAATGTTGTGAACCACTTTAGGAAAGTCATAAAGGAACGAGAGGTACAGACCTCTATGGACAGATATGTTGTGCAACAGAAGTCCAGTGACTCTGAAGCTGGTCCTAGTGGCATTAAAAGAAGAAGGGAAGTAACCCCGGAAAAGGACTTGACACCTCAAGTCCTAATGGAAGGGGATTCTCCTTCTAAACACTAAGACCATCAACACACTCCCCTCCTCCCATCCCATCAATCATCACCAGATCTTCAGTAAAGGTAAGTGTCATGTAACTGTGCACGTCTTCTTCAGTTTGTATATTAAAATTAATATTTCATGTGGTAAAAAAATTTTTTTTTCATACTTTTGGGTGTCAGAAACGGATTAATTTGATTTCCATTATTTCTTATGGGGAAAATTCATTCGCATAACGATAATTTCGCATAACATTGAGCTCTCAGGAACGGATTAATAGCGCTATGCGAGGGTCCACTGTACTCTACTCTTCTTATAACACTTCTGCTTTGTAAAAACCTCTCATAAGCTAACTTTGATTATGATAGAAATTTTGAGCATGTGAAGTGTTGCCAGGAGGACTTTAATTATGACTAGAAATGTTGAGCATATGAAGCATGGCAAGCAGAACCTAAATAATTTTTAGTAGAAATTTTGAGCAAGTGAAGTGTTACAATAATTTTAATAATTATGAGAAGACACTGTGAACATATGAAGCTTTACAAAACTTATTATTGAACTGTTGACAGGTTCTTGCAGATGGTGGTATCTGTTGCATTGATGAGTTCAATAGCATCCGTGAAGCAGACAGAGCAGCTATACATGAAGCTATGGAGCAGCAAACTATAAGTGTAGCTAAGGTAAAATAAAACTAAACATAGGCTTTATATATTACCATTCTATCATGTACAGTAGTGCGCCACTTACACGGCAGGTTTGGTTCCAGGCTATTGCCGGAAAGCAGACATCACCAGAAAGTGGGGCATACTGTATCTATTTCTTAACAAACATAAGACAGTGTTGAATGGTAGTTTACTGTTACAGTCAGTACTTAAAACACACTCATCATTTTCAAAACTACAGTTAGAAAACATCTTATCTCCTTGATACACTCCGACAACTAACTACATGATAACCACCTTGTGGTTCACAATAACACTCACTCACCCACTGACTATAAACACAGAAATACTTATCTTAATCTTAAAATAATAAATCCTAACTAGTCATAAGTTTGCCTTTGATACTCCAATACAGACACTTTGTATTGTGCTAAAACAAAAGCTTTCACATTGCTAAACTCACAAATTATAATGTAATCACCTAGCCTTAATACCATAATCTGTAAGGATTTAATGTTAAGAATTAATCTAAGTCTGCCCGAAATGCCTAGCCATGCTAGGTGTCCTAGTGGCCTCCTCTGTAATTAGTATTTTATAACATGTAAACCACACAATATCCAAATTCTGTAAACCCCACATTGTAACCCTTATAGAGAATAAACTTGATTTGATTTGATTTGATAGTAGCGTATCTTGGAAAGGATTCCTACTGATTTGGAAATTTTCTTGGCTATGTGATGGGTATGGGACTGAAATTTAAGATTACAGTCAAGGAGAAGACCTAGAAATTTGCCCTCCACATGTCTTGATATAGGGGAACCATTTAACAGTATGTTGAGTTGAATATTTGAGGCTCTGTTGCCAAACATCATGAAGTATGTTTTGTCTATGTTGAGAGTGAGTTTGTTGGTCATCATCCAAGCATATATCTTTAGCAGTTCATTGTTTACAGTGTTTTCAAGCACAGCTGGGTCTGAATGGGAGTAGACATATGTAGTGTCATCTGTGAATAGAACTGGTGTAAGGAGTTGGGATGCATTCGGGAGATCATTGATGTAGATGAGAAAGAGGAGTGGGCCTAGGACACTACCTTGGGGTACTCCTACAGCTACAGGTTGGATAGCGGGGTTGACTCCATTTGCATGTACATACTGGTGTCTGTCGTTAAGATAGGATTTTAGGCAGTCAAGAGAATGTCCTCTTATGCCGTAATGATTCAGTTTGAGGTGCAAGAGATTGTGGTCAACTGTGTCAAACACTTTTCTTAGGTCGATAAAGAGCCCCAGGAGATATTAATTTTTATCGAGAGCTGTGTATATTAGGTCAAGCATTTGTATAATAGCATCATTTGTGCTTTTTTTTTGGTCTAAATCCAAACTGGCATGGGTTAAGAACAGTGGTCCCTCACTTTTCGTAGTTCTTGGCAATCGTAAATTTCGCCAATCATAGGGGTATTTTCGTATAAACATGGACTCGCTTTTCATAGGTTGACTCGCGAATAGTAGTTTGTCCGGGACGCCTCCCTACCCAGCCAGTCTGGCTTTGTTTACCAGTGAGTGAAGGTCCCCTCAAGTGCTCCTAAGAAATATTTCATAATATTCCACTCATTTTAGTGCTTGCAATTACTAAATAAGCTACCATGGCTCCAAAGAAAGCTCCTAGTGCCAAGCCTGTGGTAAAGAAGGTGAGAAATATGTACAGTGACAAAGTCTTGGGCCATTTTCAGGAAGTGTTAAAGAGACGCCAGAAACAGAGCTCTCGCCACAGTTACTTTGCGAGACAGGACTAGAGTGACTCTCAAGGTGGTCCTAGTGGCATTAAGAAACACAGAAGAGAAGCAACCCCAGAGAAGCAATTGGTACCTGAGGTGTTGCTGGAAGGGGATTCCCCTTCCAAACTGTAAACAATCCAATCTCTTTCCTCCTCCAGTCTCCCATACTCTAAGAAGAATCTCCAATAAAGGTAAGTGTTATGCTGTTAATTTCATTCATCATTTCCCATTGTATTGTTTGTGTACTACATGTATATTTCATGTAAAAATTTTTTTTGTTTTAATACTTCTGGGTGTCAGGAATGGATTAATTGTATTTACATTATTTCTTATGGGGAAAATTGATTCGCAAATCGTAAATTTCGTTTATAATAACGGCTCCAGGAACGGATTAATTACGAAAAACGAGGGACCACTGTATGTTGTTGGATGTAAGGTCGCTTGTGTGTTATTTTTTCAAATATCTTGGAGAGTAAGGGCAAGTTTGATATGGGTCTGTAATTATTCATATCAGTTGGATCTCCACCTTTGTGGATCAGGGTGACCCTTGCTGTCTTGAGTATGGATGTGAAGGTTGAGGATGCTATAGTTTTGTTAAACATTGTTGCGATAATGGGCGACAGTTCTGGTGCAGCTTTTTTATACATGTATATGAATGGCGACAAGTTATCTAGATCACCTGATTTGTTTTTTAATGATTTAATGATGTGTGAGACTTCAGTGGGATTAGTTGAAGCTAGAAATAGATCACAGTGGAACCCCGGTTTACGATCAGCTCCCAGTGCGACCAATTATGTAAGTGTATTTATGTAAGTGCGTTTGTACGTGTATGTTTGAGGGTCTGAAATGTACTAATCTAATTCACAATATTCCTTATGGGACCAAATTCGTTCAGTAATGGCACCTGAACATACTTCTGGAATGAAATAATATCGTAAGCCGGGGGTCCACTGTACTTGGATAGTTGCCAGCGAGGTACTCACTCGGATGGGTATTTGAGCTAGGAATTTGACTCGCTAGCTTTGATCCTACAGTAGAGAAGAAGACATTATATTTGTCGGCCGTGTCTATAGGTTGCATGTAAGGTTCATCTGGTTTAGTTAAGTCTATCTCTCTATTTCCAGTTGGTTTCCTTGAGCCCAAAATTTTGGAGAGGGTTTGCCAGGTACTTTTCATGTCACCTTTCATGTCACTAAATCTATTTTCATAATACAGTGGACCCCCGTATAACGGTTACCTCCAAATGTGATCAATTATGTAAGTGTATTTATGTAAGTGCATTTGTACGTGTATGTTTGGGGGTCTGAAATGGACTAATCTACTTCACAATATTTCTTATGGGAACAAATTCGGTCAGTACTGGCACCTGAACATGCTTCTGGAGTGAAAAAATATCGTTAACCGGGGGTCCACTGTACATTTGCTTTGATTTACGTATTAGTTTTGTGAGTATTGATGTGTATCTTTTAGTAAATTCATTAGTAATTAAGCATAATCTGAACTGTTTTTCAATTTGGTGTTTTGTATTAATAGATTTGAGGATACTTCTAGTTAGCCATGGGCTGTTTAGCCTCTTTTCTGTGATCTGTTTTGTTTTTGATTGGGCAATGTTTTTTGTAGAGGTTTAGGGTTTTATGTAAAAAAATGTTCATATCTTTATCGATATTATTACTGTCATTTAGTTCTCTCTGCCAATTAATGGCACCTAGAGCTAGTTGTAGGCTGTTTATCCATGTCACATCATGCAGTGGAAATGAGATCTTTCCTGTTTCTTGAGGCAGTTTAGATAAGTTGGTTATGAGAAAGGTAGGGTAGTGGTCTGTGGTGTTATCTGTGATTATACCTGCTTGTATTGGGGATATTATGTTGGTTCAGATATGGTCAAGTAACGAGGCACTAGTGTCAGAGATTCTTGTTGGCTTTGTTATAGAGGGTAGCAGTAAGCTGTTGTTTATAGCATTTGTAAAATCAGCTACTGGAGGGTCGGTTGCTTGGATAAGGTTGATGTTGAAATCTCCTGCTAGTATCAGATGGTGTTTATTCAACTCTGACTCAATTATCATGTTTCTAAGGTTATTGCTAAAAGTGTAAGTGTTTGAGTGTGGTAGTCTGTAGACTGCACCAACTGTTATAGGTTTCTTAACCCTTTGACTGTTTACGCCGTATAAATACGTCTTACGCGCAACTATTTCTGACGTATATATACTCAATAATTCTAGCAGCTTCAAATCAAGCTGGAGAAAGCTAGTAGGCCCACATGTGAGAGAATGGGTCTGTGTGGTCAGTGTGCACCACATAAAAAAAATCCTGCAGCAAACAGTGCGTAATGAGAAAAAAAAAACTGATCGTTTTTTTGGATTAAAACGCCGACTTTGAGGTGCATTTTCGTATAGTATTTATCGTTGTATTCGCATTTTCATGGTCTTAGGTGATAAAATGGAAAACATATTACAGAAATAGAGATGATTTCCATTACTTTGACGATGAAAACGACCTTGAAACTGAGCTCAAAGTAGCGGAAATGTTCGAATTTTACCAATGTTCAGGAGTAAACAAATCACACCACATGTCCAATACACGTCAACTGGGGAGTCTAATATTCTTTCACTTGTGCACTAATATTATTTATACCATTTTTACAATAATGCAGTAGTCTGCATAACAGTAAATTTTGTATTTTTTTGTATGAATAAAAAACCAAAATAGAAAGCAATAGTAATATAAGAGGGGCCTAGAGATGTGACTAATGGACAGAGGATATGTTATTTTAGTTCCAGGAATGTCTACCTTGTTTATTCTGAACCCTATTTTGAAATTGGCATCTTTTTTAATTTGCGTGAAATTGGCCAAATTGCCAATTTCTGACCACTATATTGGGTAGTTCAAATTGGTAAATGGGTGGTTTCTTGTACTCAGCTGATAGATAAAATGAAGTTCTAAAGAAATATCTATGAGTTTGGTCAACTGGAACAACGGAATTGGCTGAAAATAGGGCTCAAAGTCGGCGAAATCGCCGATACGCATATGTCACCGAGACTGCTAACTTCGCGGGGGTGTAATTCCGTGAGTTTTCTACCAAATTTCGAACTTTAGGTGTCATTACCATCGGGAAAAGATTCTCTATCATTTCATAAGAATTTTTTTTTTTTTTTTTTTTTTTTTTCAAAAATTTATCGACATAGAATGACAGTTTCAGAAAGGGGCCTGCAACAGTCAAAGGGTTAAGTGTTCTTGATGTGAATTTAGC